GTCTTCTAGCAAAAACCAGCGCCTGACCAACTGTCACATGCTCGACATTAGGGGTAGGTAATAGAGGCTTCATCATCGTAATAGAGTCTTGGGTACATTTTAGAATACCTTGAGGCACTGCAAGGTACCGCAGAAGTATATTCCTACTTTTTCTTGCTCTCAATACGCTGACCCTGGGTGGGGGCCCCGAAAAGGGCAGAGGAGTGGTTCTGGTGGGGCTTTCGCGTCTGGAGGCGAAGTGGAAACAATCAGCTGCCCCTGCAAACGAAATGGCACCGCGCACTAGTCACTAGCTTCCGGCTTTCCCCCGACACCGGAGCACGCTGAGCGACACACGCTCACCCAATCACGCATGAAAGGATCCCGAGATCCAACTGTACATTCGATGATAACTGGTAATCGTAACATCGCGTCGGCTGCTTGCAGGGCTTGATTTCGACGTTGTGGAATCCGGATCTTTGCGATTGCTGGGCAAAGTGGGCACGTTCCCTCCAGGCTGATCGATATCCTGTGGACTTAGTTAGCGAGTGTTCTCTCATCGTCAATCTGCTCAACACGGCTGCTTAAAAAGTTTGCTTGCTCCTTGGCACCGGCCGTAAGAGCTGCCAAGTGAGGAGTCCTTCGAGTGAGCATGTCAATGTGTCCCCTGGTCTTGTCTTCAGACCGGTGCAACAGAAAGCGCAATTCCCAGGAACTACCTCCTCCAAAGAGCGTGTCCCATTGAGCTTCTTGCTTCTGCAGCTCAAGGATTCTCGCATCTGGATCCGCCCCCCTGCTTTTGACGAGCTCAGGATTATATGGCGCAGTCGAGGATAAGAAGCCCTGAAAAGGCCCCGAAAAAGGCTAATATGGGGACCTCAATAATTAGGAATATAGGTTTGGAGTAGATTCTACTGTGATTAGGAACCTCGATATTATACTATTACTATAATCTGGAGTATATTCGACTATAGTTATAATACGGACCCCCCCCCCAACTCGGCAGCTTAGCCGGCCTTCAGGGGCCGTTTCGCTAGACCTTTGCGCAATGCCTCGTGATCTTCTCTTTGGTCTCAGGGTTTTGGTTTCAGGGTTTTGGGTTTGGGGTTTGGGGTTTAGGGTTTAGGGTTTGGGGTTTAGGGTTTAGGGTTTGGGGTTTAGGGTTTGGGGTTTGGGTAGGGTTTGGACGGAGATGGCTTGGCTTGGGGGACTTTAGGGGTCTCCGGCTTCGGGGGTTTTGTTGGGGCTTCTGAGAAGTATGAGGGCCATAGTGCCTAGGCTATGAGGGACTCCGGGTTTGAGGGTTCACCGGCTTAGGAGTTCGGGGTTCGGGCTGGGGGCATGGGCCAATGGGTCTTGATGTTGACGAGCCCTTATCGGTCTAAAGACTCTTAAGCCCTCGAGCCGGAGGTTGGCGTGACTTGCTTTTCAGCACGGAATACATGAGTGCCCCCAGCTTACTCTGAGGTTTTCTTCATGTTGCATTGCTATAGACATACCTTCAGTTTCAGGCTCTAGATCTGGTCTTGCAAGGATAATGATGGGGATCCTACTTTGGGAAGGGCGTCGACCTGAACCACTATGTCCGGAGGGGGGGGGCGGGAAAATGATGAGGGTCTACACCTATAAGGCATAGAATAGGATACCTGATGTTCTCAAACTCTCAAAGTCCAGTTCTCAGCCCAAGTCGTATCACAGTTGCAACTCCATGAACCCGTCCATGACCCACCCTGAACCTCTGGGCCTAAGACCTGGCCGAGACCCCAAAGACAATGTTGCAAATTCCAAGGAAAGAGGAAAAGAGGCCTGGACGGCGAAGTTTCCGGAACACCTGAGACTAGGCTCTTCTTCAGATACTTGACTCGAGCGGCGGGTCTTTAGAGGTTGGTACGATCATTACAAAGCTTTGGTAGGATTCATCGTCGGGGTCTTCATGTAGGTGTTCATCGGCATTTCTTTTGAACAGGGCTACTTTCAGGAACTCAAGTAAGGCTAGCGTAAATTTTGGAAAGTATGCTATTTGCTGTATGTGTCCTCACGATTGCCAACTTTGGAAAATCCAAGAACCGTTAGAACGATGGGATTTCGAGACCGCACTGCCGAGCAGCGAGGAGGCGTAAAGTGTGGCCCTGCCACTCCGGTAGAAACTTCGCGCGACTTGAAAGCCGAACTGCAGGGGACTATGGCGGGAGCAGACGCGGCACTGCAGCGATCAGACTGGCGAAGACTTCGCATTTTATGAAATCGATGTTGCCGGCGGATATCAGCTCTTAACAGGTAAAAAAACAGGCTTTGCGGTGTATGCTGCTCTGGGTTAACTAATTGCCCAGTGACTTAACGAGCAGGGCCGACAGACCCGAAGATTGGAAACTCCCAACCGTCCTTCATCAAAGCTCATCAAAAAACCCTCCGTGGAATCCGTAGAGGCTTGCGGCTTGTGCGTCTCATGGCATGATTACAGTTGCATAAAGGCTTTTTCAGGGGTGAGAAAGATGTTTGCACCGGAGATCTTCCCTTACAGATCCCTTCACCCGGAACCCCATCATAATGTAGACCTCCTGCGAGGTAGGCCTCATCCCATACTACGGATCGTTTAGGGATCGCTGGGACCCTTTGATTATGCTGCCGCTTGGGGGGTTTGCGTCTCTAAGGGCGAAGACAAGGTTTTAGAGCATTGGCTTTGGGAGTCAGCCTTCAAAGTTTAAGCTTCAGGCGTGGAATACCTACCAATTGATCGGGCTGTTTGTGCTGTTTTTAGTGCAGGGGTGGTACGAAATAGATAGGTTTAGGCTCTCGGGAATGGCCTCAACCCCAAACCCTGAATCCTAAACCCTAAACCTTTCCGATCCATTTTGTAGGGTTGGCGCCTTCTGAGGGATGTCAGGGCCACGAAGATGGCGATTGCAATTGGGAGGAAAACCTCGCAAGGAATCAAAGCTTCACGCCCTGCACCTTAAACCCGGCGTCCGCACACACCGTTGATGGAGCAAAGTATTTTATGTTGTGTCACGGATACATCTCCATAGCTGTATCTATATATATATATACACACACACACATATATACCCCTTCCAAGCCCATTAGACACTACTATTTAAGAAAGAGTCCTTGATTGACGGGAGCATTGGGCTCTCCAGCAAAGGGGTTTGGTTTACAGCTCGATGCGCGGCTTCAGAGGGCCAAGCTTCGGCATCTTTGCAGCTTCAGGGTGATTGAGGGTCTCGGTTTGCCTGTTACAGCCGTTTCATGCTCTTGCTTAGGGCTTTTGTTGGGGCTCCGGGGTTGAAGCTCCAACGGCCCGCGACCGCAAAGCCCCGAGCCGGCACCTCCAAACGCAAACGCTGGGGCTTGCCAGTGCGCTTGGGTCGAGACCAAGTTCTTCTTCGGCCATCGACGTGGATGCCTCCTGCAACGAGCCGCCGGTAAAGCATAAGAAAAAAGCAAATGGCAAAGCTTAGGGCTCGTTTAGAGTTGAAGGCATCAGATTTCTGGGGATCGCAGCAATAACGGACTTGACCCTAGACGGTTTAGGGATCCAAAGTTGCAGGAACCACAGGCCTCAGGAATCCTGGAGACCTCCTCCCATGGTTTCAGGGCTGCGCCGGCTTCAGGGTTCCCAGGGTTTAGCGGTATGTTACCAGGACCAACACGAACTGTAACCGTGGATGAGCGGCGCAGCAAGATGTAAAGTCATCCACTACCACATCGCGGGTCCAGGGGGCTTTAACGTTTTACCAGTCCGGACGTTTAGAGGGTTTAGTGCTTTCAGGGGCTTCTTCAAGCACAAAGGATTCGACAGCTTGAGAAATCAGGTGCCAGCATGGAGCCCGATCAAAATAGCAGCACCCTTAACTTCCAGCGACCCCTATGCGCGCACTTTTTCGGTGCCTCCCCACCCCTCCCCATCCCAAGATCCCCTGACTTCCCAGGCCCTATCCGCCTGCGCTCTCGGCTTTCGGCCCCTTCCATCGCTCGGAGGGCGCCAGTTGCAGCTCGGTTTGCTCTTGCAACTCAAGGTTCAATGGCTTCCGCGTTCAGGGCGCCGGGCTCAAGGCTTCGATTTCGACTTATGGGGTTAGGGCTTGGGTACATCGTGGCACCTAAAGCTTTTGGGGCACCATGCCTCTTGCTGACTAGTGGCCTAACGGCTGTGAGCAGAGTGAAGAATCCTCACAAAATCATCGGCACTACGAACCCTAAACTCTACAAGACTCCAAAGCGTCTTTCCAGTGACAGCAGAGGGCCAGGGACAGGGAGTCCAGGAGTCGAAGCTCGAAGAGACGCGGTGCTACCCAGAGGCACAGAGTGCCCTGCAGCGATTCGAGATTCCGAGTGACCCCCCCACCAAACGCTGCAAGCACAAAGACAACACAGCACTTTCCGGTGAATAGACGGGGCCTCTTCGGCTGTCGTCTGCAAATCCCCTCCACTGTTTGCTCAGGTGCAGCCAGCATCTCTTGCTCGATCTGTCAACTGACTGCTGCACCCTGGGATCTCACCTGGCGCACATCAGCGAAACTTATGCATGTCATGTGGCGGACAAGTATGGCTCGTTGAGCACCATCCAATGCAGGAGGGATTAATAGAGCTTAGATACAGGGCTTGGCGATACTAACACTTCTCAGAATTATACCACGAATCGGAATCCGCACTGCAGCTTTGGCCAAGAAAACAGACATACCAAGCGGTACACCAGAACCAGCATCCTTCCAGAATGTCCGGTGTACTCCTTGATTCAGTGGCAGAGGGCCCGGAATGACCGAAGGGACTCGCATGGAAGTTTCAGCAATTCGGGGTCACTTTCTTGAGCTGCCCTAGCCTTACCTCAGCAGTTCTTGTACTATATCATAGTATGCGACCACATACGATACTAAACGATGCCATACTATATGTTACTATACGCATCTATACTACACTATACTATACAGTACGATAATTTAGATGTACGATATTCTCTGAATCTCCCACATCTCCTCCCAAAGCATCCAGTCTCCTTTTGCCTTCCTGGTGCCCGGCTCCGGTCAAAGCCTCGCCCGTGGCTGCACGGTGACCTCGTAGTCTTCCCTAAGGCCCGGGGCGTTGTAGAGGCCTCGGCGGTAGTGGCATCTCAGTTTTAGTGGTGGACATTGAAAGTTTCAGGAACCCTCTAAGACTTGTGAGCGATAGCTTCTGTTTGGCGATTGAGCCTATGGCGTTATCTATCTATATATATATATATATACATATACATACATGTACATATATTAAGATACTGGGCTGCGAGTATACATTGCCCGGCATCGAAAAACTCTGTAAACTGCGAGCTTGAGGCAAGTAAAGAAGTCGTAGGTCGTGCGCGGCCAGAGGGCGATGATTTCGCCAGTTTCGGCTTGATACCAGCTGCTGCATTTGCTCCAAACCTCAAGGGGCCCCGTGTATGCGACGGATGTTCTCAACCTGATCCCCTCTAAACCCTCCTCTCCTTGTCCTTGAACTGCTCTTGCACCCAGCGGTTGTAGGTCTTCAATACCCTCGGCTTCACAGCAAATGAGCCGATATCATGGTCCAGAGCCTCTTTCAAGAGCCTCAAGGCGTAATCTGCCTGGGCCTCGGCCATTAGGAGGAGGGAGTTGTGGCCCAGGCCCGAGTTGGGTCCCAGGATTATGAACGTGTTTGGGAGCTCCTGCATGGTGGTGCCCAAGTAGGCATGGTGTCCCTGTCGCCACGCAGAATCACCGGACCAAGTAAACCCGGATGTGCCCAAGATCTGCACGTCCTTTCCAATGGATCCGATCTCGAAGCCAGTTCCGAAAAGCAGCACGTCTGCCTGATGCTTCGTGCCGCAGGTGTCGACAATCCCATCCTCCTGGACCTCGGCAAGCCCGGCCACAACCACATCCACGTTAGATCGGCAAAGGCTTTCGAGATAGATGTCCGACCTGCAAATGCGCTTGCATCCGAGTGGGTACTTTGGGATGACCTTGTTCCTGAGCTGCTTGTCCTGAAGCTGGAAAGCCATATATCCGCGACACTGACTTCGCAGAATCTGGTTGCGTGGGTGATCACGTGCATCGAAGAGACCTCCTACGCTCAGAGCGAGCTCTTGCTTCCAGTAGAGGCTGGTGCGGTAGGCCGCGCGGACCAGCGGGATGTTTCGGTAGGCCCACTTCAAGTACTCCGGGTAGTGACGAGCAGGCAAGAGGGTCTCTTGCCTTCCGATGACCCAGTTGGGTGTGCGCTGTAGCAGGACCAAACGTTGTGCTCGCTCTGCTACCACCGGAACGAACTGGACAGCACTCGCTCCACTGCCCACCACGACCACCCTCTTGCCAGTGAAGTCAACACCATGATCCCATTCAGCAGAATGGAACATCTTGCCCCTGAACCGTTCCATTCCAGGTACATCGGGAACCTGCGGGTAGTGCAATGCTCCGACACAACTGAACAGAAATCGGGGCTCCAGCACTTCATCTGACTCTAGCATGACACGCCAGCGCTGTCGCTGAGGCATCCACTCAGCTTTTTTCAGTCGGGTGCAGAGACGGGTGTGTGGTGCCAGGTCATACTTCTCGTACACACGCTTGATATAGGCATGTATTTCTTCGGATCCAGCATATGCCTCGGACCAGTCTGGATTTGGCTCGAACGAGTAGCTGTACAGGTGTGCTGGCACGTCACAGGCACACCCTGGGTAGCGGTTCAGCAGCCATGTGCCCCCAACATCGCTTTCCTTGTCAATGATGGTGAAGGGGATGCCAGCTTCCTTGAGCTTGATGCCTACGAGCAAACCCGAAAAGCCGGCACCTAGAATGAGGATATCTCCCTCTGCCAGCGTGGAGCCATAACCTGAGAGGGAATGGCCAGTGCGGCTGCGGAGGAAGTTCAGCGTTGCCCGGAGTCGGGCCGAAAACGACAGCGAGGGACCGCTTGCAGCCATGGATGCCTTACCTACCATTGAACGCAGCACCTCTTCATCCGAAGTTCAGTCTCAGCCTGTGCATGAACTAAACTTCAGACAACCACTGTGATACTACGATCATGAAATCCCTCAAGCCGGGAACCGAAACTCTGACACGCGTTGCCCTTCTTGGAGGGCCCTCGCGCTGTTGCAATGACCCAAGAGATCTTGAGCCTATCGCCCACACAAAGCTCATGAAGACATGGGATGCATCTTTGTCTTTGGGTTGGGCGTAAACTCGTTGGCGGTCGGGATTCCTAATGCAAAGTCTTCCTAGCCCCCAAGATCAACGTAGCCCCCATCATTGGACCGTTGACACGACGTGTGGCCTCTACTTCCTCGACATCATCCGGCAGCGGAAGGTGGCGCCTGTGCAGGGGGGGGGGGGTCAATTTTAAAAGTGCCCAAGAACGGGGCCCCATTGGGGGACAAAAGCGTTCAGGGCACTAGGGTTTAGGGTTTAGGGTTCCACATAACTTTCATTTCGGGATGCCAGAGTTTGGTGTACTGTCGAATCGCGTGACTGTACCAAACGCAAGCCATAGGGTTTGGGGCTCAACAAATAACAACACATACTCTCACATCATGCGGCCTACATATTTGGAATCTGCGAAGGTGCTGCATCCCGTGTTGTGGATATTAAGTTAACCATGAGCTGCGCAGCTATCTTCTTTTCCTGTTAGAGCACTGACTAAGTGACGGTACCATGCACAAACGATGCAAATTACACGTGCACAAATGACAACGATAGCTTCCACACAATGGTGCATGGATCCCTGACAGGCGCACTTTTCCAACTGCTTTCACTTCGGCGGCGTTTCTGCGATGTGACTCCATCGGAGTCTAGTATCGACATCGATGTTTTCCTATTTCTCACTGAAATAGATAATCGATGTTCTGGGGGACCGACCGTTTCCCGGTCGGTCGTCGCAGAAAGAAAGCAGAGGAAAACATAGTGAAACGAATCACCAGGGTTAAGGAGGGTGGGAGGAGAAAATTTCTCAAGAATCTTTAGCCAAAACGGC